CTGACACCAATGATGGGGCACTATTCCTCCCACTGACACACAATGATGGGGCACTACTCCTCCCACTGACACCAATGATGGGGCACTATTCCTCCCACTGACACCAATGATGGGGCACTATTCCTCCCACTGACACCAATGATGGGGCACGATTGTTCCCGCTGACACAATGATGGGGCACGATTGTTCCCACTGACACCAATGATGGGGCACGATTGTTCCCACTGACACCAATGATGGGGCACGATTGTTCCCACTGACACCAATGATGGGGGACTATTCCTCCCACTGACACCAATGATGGGGCACTATTTTGCTCCATAAGACACACTTGGGGGGAAATGTCTGTGCATCCTTTGGAGTGGCCGGCCCAGTATTCCCGCCACCATTGTATGCCCGCAGTCTCTGGTCATCTCCTGTACTATGTCCGCAGTCTCTGGTCATCTCCTGTACTGTGTCCTCATTTGTTCATAGTTTTTTTTTTTTTTTAAACTATAGTCCGGCCCTCCAACGGTCTGAGGGACAGTGAACTGGCCCCCTGTTTAAAAAGTTTGAGGACCCCTGCAGTAGAACGAGAGTATTCACAAATTGTATTCTTTATATACGTTTATATACTTTCAATAATCTCTTGGCATTATTATTATTATACAGCATTTATATAGCGCCAACAGTTTGCTAAGTACTTTACAATATAAAGGGAGGCAATACAGCAACAATACAGTTCAATACAAGAGGGTTAGGAGGGCCCTGCTCCTTGGAGCTTACAATCTAAGAGGGAGGGGCTATTGGTACAAAAGGTAATAACTGTGGGGGTTGGACTGGTAGGAGGAGTAGAAGATTTCATTATTAGCTGAAGGCAGGATAGGCTTCCCTGAAGAGGTTTTCAGAGATCGCCTAAAAGTCAGCAGAGTAGGCAATAGTTTGATAAATTGGGGTAGAGAGTTCCAGAGGATGGAGGAGGCTCTGGAGAAGTTTTGGAGATGAGCATGGGAAGAGGAGACAAGGGAGCTGGAGAGCAGGAGGCCGTGGGAGGAGCGGAGAGGATTGTTTGGGTGATATTTGGAGACAAAATTGATTATGTAATTTTGGTCAGAGTTATAACTGGCTTTATATGTTATTGTTAATGTTTTGAATTTTATCCATTGGGCAATTGGAAGCCAGTGGAGGGATTGGCAGAGAGGGGTGGCAGATACAGAATGGTTAGTAAGGTAAATGAGTCTGGCAGCAGCATTCATGATAAACTGAAGAGGGGATTGCCTGCGATGAGGTAGGCCATTGAGGAGGGAGTTACAATAGTCAAGGTGAGATATAACAAGGGAGTGAATAAGCTGCTTAGTAGTTTTAGAGGTTAAGAACGGGTGTATCTTGGAGATGTTGCGGAGGTGAAGTCTACAAGATTTGGACAGTGACTGGATTTGGGGCTGAAAGGACAGATGGGAGTCCAGGATTACACCTAGTACCCTGGCATGAGGGGAGGGACTGATGATTGTGTTATTGATCTTGATGGAGAAGTCGGGGGGGGGGGGCAAGGGCTGGAGGGAATAGTATGAGCTCTGTTTTGGAAAGATTGAGTTTGAGGAAGTGGAATGACATCCATGCCAATATGTCACTTAGTAGGTTAGTAATGCAAGAGGAGACTAAAGGGGTGAGGTGAGGAATAGAAAGATAGATTTGTGTGTCATCAGCATAGAGATGGTACTTAAAGCCATGGGAGTTTATCAAGTGACCAAGGGAGGAGGTGTAGATGGAGAAGAGAAGGGGTCCAAGGACAGACCCTTGAGGGACCCCTACAGAAAGAGGGAGTGGAGAGGAGACAGATTTATAGGTAATGCTGAAGGAGCGCTGCAATAGGTAGGAGGAGAACCAGGAGATAGGAGAGTCTTGGAGGCCAAGAGCGTGGAGTTTTTGAGGAGAAGGGGATGGTCGACAGTATCAAAAGCCACAGAGAGGTCAAGTAGTAAGAGTAAGGAGTAGTGTCCATTGGTTTGCATGTTTGTCTTTAACCTGAAAAATAAATAAGTACTTGTAATTTACCTAACCTAGATAAATCTAAATTCTAGAGACCGATCATTTATGGTCCTTCTCAATCATATATAAATCATATAGAAATTTTACCCTATATTGTTAATAAAATGGATAAATATGAAATTAATATCTACCATTCCCCCCCGAAGAGATTGATTATATGTATATTTCCAGTCATTTCCTATGCAAATATTAATGTATTCATATAACAAGCATATCACAATTGTATCACATTTATTTAACCTTTTTGCTACCAGGCCCTGCACTCTACTTTAAACTTCAAGTGGCCATTTTAGCAGTCTTTAATTTTGTTTTTTTTTTTTTCACTTTTTTTTCAGCTTTCAGAGTTTGTAAAAGACCCCTTTAAAAACATACATTTACTGAAAGCATCCCCCGTGTGCTTGCATGTGCTGACAGCTGGCTGAAGGGATAGGAGGAGAAGGCAGGAGCACTGTGGGGAGAGCTACAGGGTAATTTTTGATTAATAGTTTGGATGAGGGACTTGTCAGCCACTGATTACAGCTATTTTTTTAACAGTGTCTTTGGGACATTTCTGGTGTATTTTCATGGCCACTTAAGTGAAGGGGGAATACAGCCAAAGTAGGGCATACTCACCTGGTTGGCTAGAAGTGACTTTGTGCTTTAGTATGCCTTACATCAATGGAAGTGAAAAAGTTAACTGCTTGACACTGGCCACATACTTATATGGGCCTTTCTGCGGGTGGGTCTTAATGCCAAGAGGTAACATATATGCACACCTAAAGTTAAACAGACCTGTGTCGAGAGCATGTGGTGTGCGCGCTTCCAGCAAAATTACTGGCGACTAAAACAAAAGATCCTAATCTCTACCTGTGATCGGGAACTTTCTGATCATGTGACAGCCAATCACAGCGGTCACATGATCACAAACCCTGCCCTGACTCCCAGCCCCTAAAACCCATTAAAGGGCAGGAAGGCGCTGGCACCAATCAAAGATAATTGATTTGTATGTTTTAGCTCCCTTCACTAACACATGCAGTGGCTGAATACAAGGCTTGCTCTGACTGACTGAGGTGGAAAGGCATGTGGTTGATGTTACAATCTCCACCTCAGTCAATAAAAGAAAGCCTTTGATACATTCATAAAATACAAAGCCTCCTGTAAATGACTGAACAGCGCTCAGCCCAACTCGATTTTGTTCCCGGAACAGGATGGGACGTTTACATTGCACAGCTGGAACACAGCAATCTATACTGTACTTAGTTAAATAAATAGTTCTTTTGGATCAACTTGGTCCAAATGAACTATTAAAAGTTCCCTTAAACCTGGAGTTAGCCTAGCCAAATGTCAATTGACAACAGATGTTCCTTGTTAACTAGAGTGACAACATTGTATGGGTTTTTAACGTTCTAAATCCACAAAATACAGTGTATGATTGTAGAAATGATATGCTACATTGAAATGTACACAGGAAAACAATAAAAATATGTCAAAATATTCCGTTATTTTCTCAAAAGTAAAAGTCAGTAGTTTTCACTCTGAAGAGTATTGTCTTTATAAGATGATTCTATCCTTATCGATGACCTCTGTTAAGTTAGGAAAAAATGTATTGAACATGATAAAACAATCATAACTATGAAGAACAAAATATTTGTGCCAAATGTTCGCTCAGAGCAGGCTTTTTTTTTCTTCATCTTCAACTTAAGAATCTTTCTTTTCATCTGGAAGCTTTTAGAACATCATTTTCTTTTCTAGTACTGACTTTTAAGTCATTTCCTTTAACACAAATGCAGTATTATTATTTTGGCATAGTTTACAGTGGCTCATGTGTACCTGCATTTAGTTATTTATGTACATGCTTTATATTTACCTGCATTTAGTTATTTCTGTACATTGCATCTTTGCACTTGGATCATTGCATGGTGGAAACAATTAGACAAGAATATTTCCAGCTAACTTGCCTTAATCTGCTTTTCTTGAAATATTTACTCTACTATTACATTTTCTACTAAAGGGGATGTTTGTGAAAGAATAATTTCATGAATTGTGGAATCCTACTCCTATATTTTTCTTCACAGGAAAAATTCTGTTTGGGAATCTCTACATTGTACCAACTGAAAAAGTAGCAGTGGATGAAAACTTTGCTTTCCTTTTATAAAAAAAAACAAAAAAACTAGAGAAATGCGTAGCCCTTGTGTTTTTTACCAACATAACATGTGCCATTGGTCTACCTATGCTCAGTTCATGATTGTAATTTCTGTGTATTGATACTATTCCGATTGCATAACTACAGGGACTCTTGGAAGCAAGCTCAAAAATTGAATTCAGTAGGGGGAATTTACTACAAGTGGAGCAGCCAGAATATGGAGCAGCTGTGTATGGTAACCAATCAGTTTATACCTTTAATTTTCAAATCTAAAATGAACAAGCTGAAGATAGACATTGATTGGTTACTAAACACAGCTGGCCCACATTCTGTCTGCTCCAGTTCTAGTAAACCCCAATCCGTTTCTTTGTCTAACAAATATTTGTTTGAAGGGCCTACAGTTTCTCTTTGCTTCCCAAATGGTAAATATGGGATTTACTATGTCTAACCTAATTTATCACTACTAGTTTTTCTGCTGTTTTTTTCCAACTCTACATTTTCTGCTGAATACAATTCTTGTATTTTCTGTAGAATGGCATAATATAGTTTAAGATACCAATCAGCATACCCAGCAAAACAATGTTACCCTAAACAAGCTTTAACCACTTGCCTACAGGGCACTCATACCCCCTTTCTGCCCAGGCCAATTTTCAGCTTTCAGCGCTGTCACACTTTGAATGACAATTGCGCGGGTCATGCAACACTGTACCCATATGAAATTTTTATAATTTTTTGAGACAGATGGAGCTTTCTTTGGGTACTATTTAATCACCTCTGGGTTTTTTATTTTTTGCTAAACAAACCAAAAACATTGGAAAATTTTGAAAAAAAGTTTTTTCTTAGTTTTTGTTATAAAATGTTGTAAATAAGTGATTTTTCTCTTTAACTGATGTGTGCTAATGAGGCTGCAGTGATGGGCACTGATAGGCTGCATTGATGGGCACTGATAGGTGGCACTGATGGGCACTGATGAGGAGGCACTGGTAGGTGGCACTGATGGGCACTGACAGGCAACACTGATGGGCACTGAAAGGCAGCACTCATATATGGCACGGATAGGTGGCACTGTTAGGTTGCACTGACTGGCACTGTTAGGTGACACTGACTGGCAGTGTTAGGTGGCACTGATAGGCAGCGCTGTTAGGTGGCACTGATAGGCAGCGCTGACTGGCACTGATAGGCAGCACTGACTGGCACTGATAGGCAGCACTGACTGGCACTGATTCAGCACTGCACTGATAGGTGGCACTGATTCGCTGCATTGATAGGTGGCACTGACTGGCACTGATAGGTGGCACTGAAAGGCAGCTCAGATGGGCACTGATATGTGGCATTGATTTGCACTGGTAGGCACTGATATGTGGCATTGAGGTGGCACTGATGGGCACTGGCAGGTGGCATTGATGAGCACTGACAGCTGGCATTGATCCGCACTAACAGGTGGCACTGTTGGGGCTACACTAATCATCAGGGCACACTGATCATCAGTGCCCTGATGATCAGTGTACATGTCCCCTCTGAGAAATGCCGATTACCTGCTCTCCTCTCCTCTCGCGAGCTGTCAGCATGATAGCTCGTGAGGAGAGAAATGCAGATAACTGGCATTTCCTTATTTACATGCGATCAGCTGTGATTGGACACAGTTGATCACATGACCGAGCCGACGTCTTCGGCTCTTTCCGTTGATCAGTGATCCGCTGTGTCTGAGGGACACAGCGCACCAGCGATCGCCATGCTGCGTGCACCCGTAGCTGCGCATGCACGGTTAGAGTGGGAGGGCGTCATATGATGTCCTCCCAGAACCAGAGAACCGCCTTGCACCCATCATTGCCTTATATGGCGGGCGGGAGGCGGTTAAAGACATTAACAAATACTGGTACGAATCCATTCTCAACTTTTGTACTGAAAACAAGATAAAGATTCTCCAGAGGTGTTAAACCTTGACAGGTGTTTTAGCTGTGGGCCTGTGTTTTATGGCACAGCAATGAAAAAAAAAAATAGGGGATGTTGTGTTTGGCAGATGATACCACTTGACACTGTGCTATATAGAGGTTAGTGGGGCTCTGCTGCAACCGCCATACAACTGTGTCCAGTGGATGCTGTTGCGGCACAGTGAAATCCCTTATCAAACTGGCAGAGGGTGGCATATTGCCTCCTGATTATTTGCTAACAGCGAGGTAGACTCTGTTGACATCACAGTCCACCACAGATCACAAGTCTGCAGGTAAGTCCATATGAAAGAGGTTGAAGTCTGCATAGCCAATTTTGTTTTTGTTTTTTTTGTTATTTTTTGGTAGAGAGTGGGGGAAGTTGTAATTTTATTGCTGTCGGCTCTATTGGGAAGATTCAACCTCTCTGTTTGTTCTCTTGGCTATTGTCACTGGAATAGAAATTTATGGGAAATCCAAATATCATGCAACATAAAAAAAATGGCAACTACCATCGTTTTGGGCCTCTGAATTTAGAAAGCATTTCATGTTTTGGAGGTTTTAAGTTATTTTCTAGCCAAACATGCAAATTTTATGTGTTCAAAAACATTTAAAAAATTTCTCCTAAAGCAAAGTGGTTAAAACAGGTTTTTCAAGAACTTTACAAGTGTAAATGGATACATTCCTGCCATACCACAACATCTAGCAATAATATATTTTTTTAATAAAAGCATGGTGACAGAGGCTGTTTTCCAGGGCTGTCTTCACTTCTCATTAGCTGCTTATGATTTCAGTCTCTACAGTTTTTTTTTTTTTTAGAAAACTTCCTGGAAATAGAAAAGTATATGCTTACAGAGTATTAGAGTTCCTATACATTAGAAGCCGCCCTTGCTACCCTTCTGAAAAGTGATCAGTGGTAGATTGCTTTTCAGAGGGCAGCTGGGAGGCAATATGTTACCCCCCTCCCCCCAGCACTTGTTTCAACCCTTAAAAGCCCATATTACTGTACCGCAACTATGCGCATTTCACGTGGTTGCAGGGCTGTTGCAACAGAAGGTTAGCTCGGCAGCGGGTGTGTGTGACCCCCTGGATGGGTGCACAACACAAAAAGATAGGCACAGCACAACAATAGTGGAGGTGAAAACAAACAGGTGCAATTTATTTACAATATTTACAGAAAAAATGATAAACCAAAAAGAAACATCAAAATAAATCCTGGCCAACTTGGCTACTTACTGCAACAACAGCTTTTCCCTAGCTACCCACTAGGTACAGCCTGCTGCTATACCTAGTTGCTAGTACTGGGAGGTTAGCCACACAGGCTTTGGTCTCTCTGCACACAGATAACAGGTCAGCTCCCCAGACAGTTCAGGCACAGATCTGGTTCCAGGGTGGAGCCACTCCCTAAGCACTCTGGGAAGCTTTATACAGGTGTTAATGAGCCCACTACCTTCAGCTGGGCTCATTATCTCAGTGCTGAAGGACTCAGCACTTCCCTCTAGTGGTACAAATCCCCATAAACCCTGAACCTCGGACAAATATATCGTCCATCCAGGACGCAACCAGGTGATTTCACCTGCCTACTGTCACATACCCCCCCCCCCCTCTTGTTTCAACCTTGGGGTTGTAACACCAGTAGCCAGGCAGGCGTGTACCCGGGATAAAGCATCCACATTTCCCATCTGAACACCAGGGCGATGCTTTACCGTGAAGGTAAATTCCTGTAGGGCCAGAAACCACCTATTTACCCTTCTATTGGTCTCCTTATTTTGAGCCATCCATTTCAAGGGAGCGTGATCTGTGATCAGGTCAAAATGTCTGCCCAGCAGATAGTACCGAAGGGAATCTAGGGCCCACTTTACCGCTAAACACTCCTTCTCAATCGTGGCGTAATTTTCCTCGTGAGACTTTAGCTTTCGGCTGAGATAGATTACTGGGTGCTCCTCCCCCTGCCAAACCTGGGACAGCACTGCTCCTAAGCCAACATTGGATGCATCCGTCTGGACCACAAAGTCTTTTGAGAAGTCTGGTGAGTATAGGACTGGCTGGCTACATAAGGCCCTTTTTAAAGACAGGAAGGCTGCTTCAGCATCAGGGGACCACTTAACCATGACAGACTCCTTCCCTTTTGTCAGGTTGGTTAGGGGTACTGCCATAGAAGCAAAATGGGGAATGAATCGCCGATAGTAGCCAGCAATTCCTAGAAAAGCCCGTACCTGCTTTTTGTTTTATTTGGGCGTGGCCAATTCTGTATTGCTTCCACTTTGTTTATCTGAGGTTTTATTACCCCTCTCCCAATAGTGTACCCCAGGTACTTGGCCTCCTCCTGTCCAATCGTACACTTCTTTGGGTTGGCCGTAAACCCAGCTTTCCGTATTGAGTCTAGCACAGCCTGAACTTTTGGCAAATGTGAGGCCCAGTCTGCGCTATGGATAATCACATCGTCCAAGTACGCTGCAGCATACTTCTGATGGGGACGAAGAATCTGATCCATTTTTCGCTGAAAGGTGGCCGGTGCATTCTGTAACCCGAACGGCATTCTTTTATACTGGAATGACCCTTCTGGGGTTACAAATGCAGTCTTCTCCTTTGCCGACTTAGCTAGGGGAATTTGCCAATAACCTTTCGTCAAGTCTAGTGTTGTCATGTACCGGGCTGCTCCCAGTCGGTCGATTAGTTCATCTATCCTTGGCATGGGGTAGGTGTCAAATTTTGTAACTTTATTCAACTGTCGAAAGTCGTTACAAAATCGCCAGCTCCCATCTGGTTTGGGCACCAACACTATGGGGCTGGACCAGTCACTTTGGGACTCCTCTATCACCCCCAAATCTAGCATTCTCTGTACTTCCCCACGTATTGCCTCCCGTCGAGCCTCTGGGATTCTATAGGGTTTCAGTTTTACTCTTTCACCCGGTGGGGTGATAATGTCATGCTCCACCCCCGAGGTTTGTCCCGGCAGCTCAGAAAAAACCTCTGTGTTGCGGAGCACAAACTCTTTAGCCTCCTGTTTTTGAATTGTAGACAGCGTGACTGCTATTCCAACCTCCGGAACCAAGCAGTTAGATGGCGCTGGTGACAAACCCTCAGCAACTAGGGATTCCCTGTCCCTCCAGGCCTTTAGCAGATTAATGTGGTAGATCTGCTCCGGTTTCCGCCTTCCTGGTTGTCTGACCCTGTAATTCACCTCACTCACTTTCTCAATCACCTCGTATGGGCCATGCCATTTGGCCAGGAATTTGCTTTCAACCGTAGGGATTAGCACTAGCACTCTATCTCCTTCAGCAAACGACCTGGTCTGGGCCCCCCGATTGTACACCCTCTGCTGCGCTAACTGTGCTTGGGACAAATGTTCCTTTACGATAGGCATGACCTGGGCAATTCTATCTTGCATTTGGGCGACGTGCTCAATCACACTCCGGTGGGGAGAACTCTCACTTTCCCAAGTTTCCTTGGCGATATCTAACAGCCCCCTTGGGTGTCTCCCATAGAGCAACTCAAATGGTGAAAACCCTGTGGAGGACTGGGGTACCTCCCGGATGGCAAACATCAAATAGGGTACTAAATAATCCCAACCCCTTCCATCCTTATCTACCACCTTCCTTAGCATTTGTTTCAGGGTTTTGTTGAACCTTTCCACCAACCCGTCAGTTTGGGGATGATACACAGAGGTGCGCAACTGTTTTACCTTGAACAGTTTGCACAGCTCTTTCATCACCCGGGACATAAAGGGGGTTCCCTGGTCCGTCAGCAGTTCCTTTGAAATACCCACTCGGCTGAAAACGAGGAATAGCTCCTTAGCTATTGTCTTGGCAGAGGTATTTCGGAGTGGAATTGCTTCTGGATAGCGGGTGGCATAGTCGAGTATGACCAACAGGTACTGATGCCCCCTAGCGGATTTCACCAGCGGACCTACCAAATCCATGGCAATCCTTTCAAAGGGGACCTCAATGATGGGAAGAGGTACCAGTGGACTACGGAAATGGGGCATAGGGGCCGACTTCTGACACACAGGGCAAGAGGAACAGTAATTTTCCACCTCCTTAATGACCCCAGGCCAATAGAACCGCTGCAGTACTCTTTCCCGTGTTTTCTCCGCCCCCAAATGACCCCCAAGGATGTGTCCATGGGCCAACTCCAACACCAACTTCCTGTAAGGTCTGGGCACCACCAGTTGCTCAATGGTTTCTTCTGCCCCCTGAGCAACTCGATAGAGTAGGTCCCTTTCCACAAGGAAGTATAGGATAAGCAGCAGTTTTCTCAGGACTCACTAGTTGGCCATCTACTTTTACTACATTTTCCCGGGCTTTTATCAGCGTGGGGTCTTTCAGCTGTTCGGTGGCAAAATTTTCCCTATGCACCTCTAAGTCCGAGAAATCCACAACCGGCAGATTTTCATCTGAGGAGGCGGGCTCCTCCCCAGTTCCTTGGGTCTCCCCAGCTAGTACCGACAAGGGGAACTTGGGAGAGACCTCACCACACTCAGACGCTTTCTGGGATTCACCTTCCTGGTCTGCAGGGGAGACAGTGGGGGGGTCAGAACAATCCCAGAGTTCCCAGAATTTTGGAAAATCCCTCCCCACAATGGCATCATGTGGTAAATGAGGTACCAATCCTACCTGATGAGACAGGTTACCTTTGGGGGTCTCAAAAAACACAGTAGCCACGGGATACTCCCTAGTGTCCCCATGCACACAAATCACTGCCACCTTTTTATGCCCAGAGACCTTTGTAGTGACCATCTCTCTCTCTTATCAAGGTTACCAGGCTACCTGAATCCAGCAACCC